CGGCGGTGCAGGTGAAGCCGGCAGCCCGAAGGGTAGTTCTTCTCATTTTTCTTTCTTGTGTGCGGTTTTGTTGTTGGTTTTGTTTGTCTTTCCGTTATTCCGTAGACCAGTGTGGGTATTCTCACGTTTATTTCCTCACTGAAATTTCTAATCTGCTGTTATCGTTTTGCAGTTGATATACGGACCTTGGCATACTGTGCGCTATGTCTGAAGGTGGCAACATTAAGCATCAGTTGTCCTCAGCCTTTTATTCCTTGATGTATTTTCTCTTGTGGTGATTTTATTGTTGTGGGAAGGAAAATCAAAGCAGAAGATTAAGAAGGTTTTGTTTGAAAACAAGGTGCTTAGAATGAGTACTGTGGCTTAGTTCTAGATCTCTGGGTTAATGTTTCTTTTCCCGCTTCGCACTGTGTTTTGTTGGCTGTTGTCATTGCATCTGGCTGACGGAGGCCTATTCAAATTTAGCACTAATAAATGTGGACCTGTGAGCTCAGCTCCTCTTGTACGTAGAGCTGCTTGTTATTAGCAACGAATTTATCTATTACAGCATGAGCTAACCCAAAGAATCTTTTTTTTTTTTAATACTGTTTAAAGACTCAATATTTAAAATATATGTTAAAACGTGTAGAATGCAGAAAATACAACTATATAGTGTAAAGAGAGAAGTGTTGCTTGTGTGTCATGTGAATTCTTATGCAGGGAGTTATCTTTCGTATTGTTTTTTTGCTGGAAGAAATGAGGTTCAAGAGCATGTTAGGCAGTTACGGCATAACTAGAGTATCGCCATGTTAAAATGTCCAAGCACCAGCCTTGCTCCTAAAACTCGATTTAGTAAGGTTTTGAAATCAGCAGGTTGAACTATTCTGACAAACCTATTAAAAAAACTGAAACAAAACAAAAGAAACCTCAAACCCACTCACCCACCCACCCAACCCAAAAACCCTCAAGCCTCCCCCCCAAAAAAAACAAACGCAAAAGACCCCCAAACCCAAATTTAAGGTATGATTTGAAACTTCTGAATTGCGAGATTTGTGTGAAAAACAAATGTTTTAAAAGAAATGTATGCTCTGCTCCATAGCTGTGTTGCTAAAACTATTGTAATAATTCAAACTATGCTGTCATAGAACTACACATTCCCTTTCTCTTTTGTCAGTTTAATGATTCACTGATTGTAATTTTTCCCTCCGTGTTTGACAGGTAAAAAGGCCTTTTTACATAGTAGTTTTGAGACGTACCATACTAATCTTCAGATAAGAAACCTGCAGTCATGTCCAGCTATTGTAGATCCTCTAAACCTACATGTATATATTCGTAGAGTATCTCAAGTTGGAAGGGACCTGTAAGGATCATCGCGTCCATGTATTGATAGATACATAGTGCAGGTTAGTTAAGTCACCGAACATAGAGCGTTTGTCTAATGTGGGATGTAAATTGCCCCAGTGCTTTGTTTTCGGAAAGGTCTAGCGATCTGAAAACAGGACTTAATTGCTCAATACAGATACTGTTGCATTTGTGACAGAGGGACCGAGTACACCGATAAGCAGCTAAAATGGTGGAAGTGATGACTTTAGGGATTTTACATGTTTCACTTGCATTATTACTTTTTAGATTAGTCTTTCAGTATGGCATAAGTAACAAATGGAGGATCAGGGATTTCTGGTGTCAGGTGTTGCAGAGAAGAATATCAATAAATGCATCAGCTGTAGGAAGGATTAAGTGGCAAAGAGTTACCCTTAAAATGAAAAAAAAGCATTCATCTTTGTTAGCTTTTTTCTTTTTTCTGGAGCAGGTGCGCATTTACATGAAGGCATACTTATTCTAGAAGAGGAAGACTAATTTTCCACCAGAGAAGAGTTTTCCTACTTCTTTCGGTGTGGATTTTCTGATGCAAAATCCCTAAATTGTGGTAACTAACATTAAATATGTCATGTAGCTGTAATATCGCATGCCTGTCCTTTTGAGTTTTGTCATCCAAAGTAGTTGTAACAGGTACCTGTATTAGAAAATGTAGTTTTTGCTACTGTGTATACACAGTGCAGAAATGTTTACTGGTGGCCGCTGGACAGCGTACAGAGATCTCTTTTTATATTTTCCAAATCTATGAAAAAACTTACTAAGAAATCACAAGTGCACCATGGAAGTCAGATGTCTTTTTCTTTGGGATTGTTCGGTGCTGACATGGCTTCGCCACTTGGTGTCTTTTCCAGAAGGGGTCCTGTCAGGAAAGCAAGGTTTGCTTGTTATCGGAACAGTGATAAGGCTTCCGTGAGCTCTCTTTGCAGTGTAAGAATGTGTGGCCTACATACGTAGTTGAATGTAATACTGTTCCTGGGGTTTAGTGATTCCAAATAACGGAGACCCTGCTTTGGCAGGAGGGTTGGACTAGATGACCCACAGAGGTCCCTTCCAACCCCTGCCATTCTGTGATTCTGTTTCTGACAAAGCAATGATGACACAAGGATGACTTTCACAAATGTTTTTCAAAGGTCTTGCAGTTCCATATCAGTGAAGTATGCAGAGGGAACTAGTCACAGATATTTTTAAATGCTTTGGATATAGTTTAGATTTTATACTGTTAAACCCGAGATTCCTACAGCTTCCAACATATTTCAGATCCTATGGCTGTCCCACCATCATACAGTGACTTGGGAAAGTCTGCCAGGGATGTATTCAACAAGGGATATGGTAAGTAATGTGACTGTGGTTTGATAACCTTTTGTATTTTTCCTTCGGTGTCTTGAAAATGACAATAAAAACATTAGTACCCCAGAGATCCCCCAGATACCTTGTGGTAGGAATTCAGCAGAGGCCTGGAGCATCTAGCCCCTTCTGAATTTGAATTTTAGATATGTAACAAACAAGTTCCTGAGGTAAAATGACCTTTGTGTTAATTAGAATAGCCTATTGTCATAGCTACAGTGGAAATAATTTCACAGTATTTGCATTCCTCTTCAAAGAATTTAAATGGAGAAATTCTGGTACTAGTCACTTTTCTGGGAGCAGTACTAAAAGTGCTGAAGTTTTTTTTATCTGGTTTTGTGAGTGTGTAAGAAAGATTGCATTTGTATCCCAAATCCATACACTACATAAAACTAAAAAGTGCTCTGGTCTGCTGTCTGCCAACCCGAAGTTCAGACTTTGCTAAAATTGAACTCAGGTTCCCTGCTTTATAGTGTCAGTTGTTTCAGGCTTTTCTACTCTGTGCAAGGGCCAGTTATTTCTGTAGATTCATAGCACGTTAGAAAGAACAGGAAGAAAGCAATAATGTCTCTCTGTATGACACTGATTGAAGTAAGTTGAAACATAATTTTCTCAGAGAAGGGGGAAAGAAAAATTCCTGCCCTGCAATCAGAAATATAAAAGTAAGTTGAGTAAATCGGAAGAAAGGGTAACTGTATTGATTGGTCCTAGACTGCAGGTAGCTACCGAAGGTGGAGATACTTGATGATGGGTGACTGACTATAAATTACGAGGCCACCCACTTTGAATTGTCAAAATTCCTTCAGTCATTCCTCAGTAAGATCAACAGCTGTTGAAATATGAAAATAGGCTGTTTCAGGTCAGTGTACCATACCTGTTGTACTTGTTGGAAATAAGCCTTGCTTGTATATTGTGGTGAAACAGACGCTATGTACTCTTCCATTTTCAGGATTTGGAATGGTCAAGTTAGAGTTGAAGACCAAGTCTTCCAGTGGGGTGGTAAGTACTGGGGGCTTTCAACATCACCAGCGTTGCAATGGAAGGGCAAATTCCTAAACTGGTTGGGGATAATAACTTGCTAACAGGTGTTGCTTCTGTCTTTCATTTCTCATTTTAAAACCTGTAGCTGACTGAGGTATTTCTGTAATGACATGTGGAACTCGCGTAGCGGTACTTCTTTTCCTGCAGCGTGCAAGAATTTTCACACATTTTGTGGTGGACATGTAGCTTTCCTCCCCATTCCCATTGCCATATCCCAAACATGAGCTGCTTCACCCTAAATAGCTCTCATTTCTGTTTATGAATGCAGCTGGGTTTCTCTGCTGTTGTTGGTTTTTATAGGATTTTGAGTCCGCGCTGACTTTCTATCCAAAAGGCCAAGGGGCAAGTAATAGCCACAGTTTAACTTAACTTCATTTTCACTTATCTCCACTGTAGAGAGAGTGGTGGAGTACCCTGCAGTACCCTTTATGTAGAATTTGAGAGTATTTTATAGACATTAATTAAGCTTTAGCACTTCAGGTAACTAGAAAATACTATGATCCCCATTTTAATGATGGAGAAGTGGAGCTTCCTCATGATTTCACAGGAGGGCTGGCAAAACCAGGAATGGATTTCATAATTTTGGTCTTTAACCACAGGCACGTATAGTTGACTAGATAAGCTTACAATTACACTGAGTCTCAGTTCTGTGTATGCTACCACTTGATGTTGTTCTGGTTGGTAAGCTGTGCAGCTTTTCAGCCTATTTCATAACCATATTTGTCTTAGCTCCCTCCTTCTCTTGCATTCTTATCATGCAGATGGTGTAAGTCATTCCTTTTGTGTTACCGTATTCTGTCTCAATTGAGCTTTCGATGGATTACTTGCATGGTGCACCAGGAATGTGTAGGCGCAAGGAACTATGTGGTCTCTATACTATGACTGCTACCACTTACTGACATCTTACGATATGCATAGTTTTCCTGGCTGGAAGTTTTGATTCTTAAATAATATGCTAATGGTTAATTATGCTGTCTTCTGAATGTGACAGAACGTGAACAACCGTATTAAGTTCTAAAACAGGCTTTTCCTTTTTCATGCAACTTTCGTGTTGGATGTTTATCCAGCTGGTAAGAATAGTGACTGTTTTGGAATGTTGGCTCTTTATTGCTTTGTCTAGCGAGGTTTTCTGTAGTGCACACTGTTGTTCATGAACTGTTGCATTGTTTTGAGTCATTTTATCATCCATGTCATGAAGTTTTACTGTGTCCATAGCTCTTGATCTGCTGTACGATCCATGTGTGTAAGCCATTTGCAATCTTTGTCCAACAGTCCACAATAAGAACACTGTAAAAACACCACGAGGGAAAAGAAGATAGGTACAGCATTGATGCAGTTGTCTGTTGCTTCAGATTTTCTGCTTGTTAGTGTTTCTGCTACAATAAAATGGGATTTTGGGGATGGAGACAAGGTTAGGAACAAAGCGTGAGATCTAATTCATACTTGGGTACTAATAGTGCCTCTTATTGTTATATACAGAAATGTTTTGGATGTTTTTCCCATGGACTTAAAAAACAACAGTGGTAGTGTCTATTGGTTATAGTTGTTTCATAGATTGCAAGTGGCCTAGTAAATGCATGGCCTTCCTGAAGATGTTAGCCACCGTAAACTAGAAAGTCAATGAGAAGCTGAGCTTGACTGCTGATTCAGACTGGAGTGTGACATGGAGCCAGAATGAGTTTGATTTGCAGCTACAAAAAATTCAAGAAATGCTTCTACACGAGATGGTTTGATGAGACGTCTGTAGTTTACACAGTTAAAAGATTGATGACAGCAGAGGCTGACTGTGTGCCTTCTGTTTCCAGAAGGAGATCCAGTTCTCATACCTGGCAAAATGCTTTGGCTTTTGATCATACGACAGCTCAGGGTTTTTTTTTTCCTTTGGCTGCGAAAAGAGCATTTTGCAGTCTTTCATCTGCTTGGTCTGAGAAACAAATCAAGCCTTTTTAGTCCGGTTACCTGCCCTAAGATGAGAAGAAAGTTACTTCTGAATTCTGATGCAGGTTTGAGATGTCTTTACACTGAGTTTGTGGAAGTGACATTAGAGCAGTGTGTAGCAGTTATGTCTTAAAGGATAGTCTAACACATCCTGACTTGCATGACATATTTTTGTTAGCTGGCTAGATGTGTTATAAAGCTGTTGTAGTAGTGCATTAGCTTGAGTAACTCTTTTTTTTTTTTTTTTTTTTTTTTTTTTTTTTTATATCCCCCGGGTTTTAAAGCGTTTTTCCCTGGCCGTACTTCCCTGGCACTTCAAAACCATTTAAAGACAGTCTTTGTACACTCTGCAAAGCCCAGAATTGTAAAAGTAATGTATGCAGCATTCAGGAATGTAGTCCTGGAATGAGATGGATCTGGAAAGTCAGGGTTCCAAGGCTTGGATGTGTTGGCAATGGATACTGCCATCTCTTAATCATTGTATCTTTCAGTATTTAAACTTCAAGAGAGGCGTAACTTGGACATGTATTGGCAGATTAATTATCTTTCTTCAAGAAAAATATCTGAGAAATAAGGACAACTGAAATGAGTTCAGTTCTCAAATGCTTTTTAAAAACTAGCTGATACAGTTTGAGCTTACTACAGCGGAAATATGCTTGCTCATTGCTTTGTACTCTGTTGTGCATGAAACACTGAGTAGGCTCCCTCTGAGTTATTCAAGGAGAGGTGTTTATTGAGACTGCAAATCCCCTAAATAACAGGAAGCTCTGATGTGTTGGGGGACTGGCCAAACATCATAGGGACAGCATGTGACAAAATACACATTATACAAGAATCAGAGTTATTGGTTCAGTTACACTAGTGTGTCAGTGAAGGACCAGCCTCGTGGAGAGATGTCAAGGTGCCACTGGGGTCACGTTATTTTCTGACACTGTGAAGGAGAAAAGGTCTGCAATTTTAAGGTGCCTTACAAAGCAGTGACCTAGCTTCAAAAGTGTAGTTTCTGGCTGAGGCAATGACAGAGAAGTTAGGCTGAGGGAGAAGGTACTAAAGTCATCAACATAGTATATGAAGAGTCTTAAGTGACAACAGTATAAAGGGTAGGGGGAACAACAATGTTAAGGTGCAGCAGTCAGTGTGAAAAGCATCAGTGACCATTCTCCAGAAAACATTTTCACTGCTGAAAGGTGGAAAAAGAAAAAAAAAGAATGCAAAGGAAGAAACCCATGAGAAATTTGGAGAAATGAAAAAAAAAAAAAAAAAAAAAAAAAAAATCTTTTTTTTCCTTGTTTTTTTTTTTGCTATTCATCTAGCAGCATAAGTTGGATGTAGGATTGCTTTTCTTAAGGGAGAGTAGATTTCCAGGAGGACTTTAACGGGTGCTATGTCATGCACAATTGGGACAGTACCGGTAAGATAATAAGGGGAATCAGAGGAGATGGTGAGGAAAAATCCAAGGATACAAGCAGCTTTGTATCCCAAGCGAGTATCTGTTTGTATCTGGGTATGTATCCATGTGAAGATACAGAGCAAGTTGTGGAATGTGGAAATAACAATTGCTGCTTTGGAGTGGAAAAAAGAGGGCTGAAAAAGGTTTCTTTTTTGGTGCAGGGGAGGTTGGTGGATAAGTTAGGAAAAAAGTGTGGCAAAGATTTGATTACCTACTCCCCCCCCTCTAATTATGATGCAGATGAAAAGTAAGTGAAGATGTCAGGTCTTTGTGTAATAGTGCTTTTTCCAACCTAGCAAGTTCCAGGGTTCTACCAGCACACCTCAATAAAATAAATATCCAGAACAGAGCTGCCAAAAGGAGTAGCATTTTGTGATGCAAAAATAAGTATTTTTGGTGGGGACAGGGAAGAGGGGTATGAGGATTTTGAGGGTCTGTCAAAAGGCCTAAGGGCAGCAAGTATGAGTGCTGGCACTTGACGAGTGGAAAAACTGAATGTAATTGAATATCAGAATGCTGAAACTCACATTATGCTCTTGGCAGGAATTCACTGCAACTGGTTCTTCCAACACAGACACAGGCAAGGCTTCAGGCAGTCTAGAGACCAAATATAAGATCAAAGACTATGGACTTACATTCACCCAGAAGTGGAACACAGATAACACACTGGGAACAGAAGTTTCCATGGAGGATCAGGTAAGAGGAAGTAGATACTCTGAAAATGTTTCTGCAACTGGTATGAGAAAGTATTAAGCAGAAAACATGGAAGAGTGAAAGTTGCACAAAACCATCTGGAGTACTAAAAAGAAAGAAGTGATGTGTATTTGCAGAATGCACAGACTGAGAGCATCATGAATTTTGGGGGTGGGAGGTGCAGGCATTTCCATAGCAATGTGCTGGTACGTACTGATCCAAAGGTACAGAGTTATTGCAGTTACGGGAATGCAAAACTAGCTAGCTGGTTGAATAAATATCACTATTACCCACTCTAAATAGGAGTTCGTGTTTAAAGATGCACTCTAGCTACATACACCTGTCACTGTCCAGTCATGCAGGGAAAGCAAAAGAGGGGTCTCGTAGTTTTAAATGCTCTAATGCATAGGGACTTAAGTTTGGCTGCCTTGAGATTGAATATATTTTGTAAGGTTGAAGAAAAAGACAAGTGTTTGCAGCTTGACACTGCTTACACAAAGGGTTGCTAGCATACAGCACTCTCAAAACACACAATTCCTTCTCAAAGTAACAGCTTTATGCTTTTCACTTAATGTCTGAAGCGTAAGGTAATGATGCCAAAGGTAGTAAAAGTTCTGTGGTGCCCTCTGCCATGTATAGCCATAAATTTTCGTAGTTATGGTTTTGCACTTTTAGCTGTGCTTTAAAATGCTGTCCAGCTCAAAATAAGTGTGGGAAAGCTGAGGCGGGTACACGGTTTGGCCTGTGAAGTTAGTAGTGTGTCTTAAAAGAATATGTGTAGATTCCGAGAGAGATTCTTGAGCTACCGTATGGATTGTTGGAACTGTAGGGAATAAGCATGAATAATGTAACTGTAGGGAACAAGCAATGAACTGACAGTTTTCTTTCTCTAACATAGATTCTCAGTTTTCTTGTCAACACTAGATTTGAAATCTTTGTGTAATAACGTATCTACAAAGCACACGCTATTACAGGGCCTTATTGTGGGGAGAAAAAGTCCAAATTTTCACAGAAAATCCCTTTTAATCCCTTATCATACAGCATCTTCAGATTTCGTTGTAAAACATGTGGGAAAGGTTATGGTTGTGTTTTGTCTTCTCTTTAGACAGGAAGTAGAGCTATAGTAGTGGAATATAACAAATCAGGTTTCAGCAGAGTTCTGAGCAGATGTGTCTGTTTTTCTTTGCAGTTGGCTGAAGGATTGAAGGTGGCTCTTGACACTACATTTGTACCAAACACAGGGTAAATATTTTCTGTCACCTTTATCTAAGGAGTGCTAGAATGTCCCGTAACTTTCAATTAGAAATGATTATTCTGGTTATTGTGTAAATGCTCAAAATTTACTGTAGAATATTCTGCAGGCACTGTGGGATATTTTGAAGGCGATGGGTAATACCGGGCTCAGAAGGATTACATCCGCTAAAAATGACTCTTCAGCTTTTTTGGCCATTGGCAAATTTGTTGTTTTGCAGTAGCTATTATATTTTTGTAACTCTCCCCTTAATCTGCTAGGTCTTACGTGGACCACTTAACTTGTACCGTCTTTGTCATGGTGTTGACAGTCCTACTGCTGTCAACTCAGTGCCTTAAGAACACAAAGCAAAATTATTTTTTTTTTCTGATGCTTTTGGGCAAATGTCTATGCACAACTGAATGAGGAGGTATTATGATAGGCAGTGGAATTTGTCTTTCTCAGTTATATATTTATTTTTGGTAGGCAGTAGAGCAAAAGAGCGGTGTTTGTCTGCATAATGCACAAAGCTGCAGACTGCTTTGTAAATAATTACTGGTATTTCCTTGTTGTTGGGGAGAGCCTATCAGAAAAATAAAGAGTTTGACTGAAATACTGCTTGGATGTAAGGAATGAGAATTTAAGTCAAAAATGAGACCCCCAGGCCTAGGTATAAGTGACAGGCAGCATGGTGTTCTGCTGTGTCTTCAGTGGGAGAGAAAGGACATTGGGGAGAGGATTAAAGAGGTGCTAAAGTTTTGTCTCGGTTAAGTTTGAATTGATAGCAAAATGAGCGCAAAGATGAGAGGAAGAGCCTTCTCCAGAGGGTCAGAAAAAGGCTAAGTGGATGATGTCTGAAGGTTGAGGAAATCCATTTTCGCTAGAGGGGACTGGTATCCAGCAGTGAAGAAGGGAGGAAAGCAAGCACTGCACATGAAGGAATACTGGAGAGAACCATGCAGACTAAAAAGTCACTGAAGGACAGAAAGGCCAGCTATAGGTGCAGGATGTCATGGATGCTCCTGAAAGAAACTGATGATGCTGTACTACATTGCACTCACTTGTGGAGAACAAAATTTGAAACTTGATGGTTTTTAGAGCACTAAGCAGAAACACTTTTGTCTTTCTTGCTTCTTGAGGATTTTAAGGAGTTGGAGATGGTGGAGGAAAAAGCAGCACCACATAAATATACAGTGGAGGAAAAAGCAGCACCATGTAAATATACATAAGACCTATATTACTCTTATCTTCAGCAGCTGTTAAGTTTTGAGTAGGCATTACAGTCATTTAATGAACTGGCCTTAAGGCACATAGATATGTGAATAAAACTACATATAATACATACTTGTATACTAGCAGGGATAAAATGGCATGTTTCTCTCTGCAGGAAGAAGAGTGGAAAGTTGAAGACCTCCTACAAAAGAGAATATGTAAATCTAGGCTGCAACATAGACATTGATCTCTCTGGACCAACCGTCTATGGCTGGGCAGTGCTGGGCTATGAAGGCTGGCTTGCTGGCTACCAGATGGCTTTTGATACAGCCAAGTCTAAGCTTTCGCAAAATAACTTTGCCTTGGGATATAAGGCAGGAGACTTTCAGCTGCACACTAATGTGTAAGTATTATCTGAACCTAGACAAACATTATCAGAGGAGCCAAACTAGACAAATAGTGAGCAGTAATGGAATTAGGTGAAAGGTGGGTGGATGGAAGCGGATGCTGGCTTGTTTTAAAATAATTTATATTCGGTGTCTTCATCTTCAGTACAACTAAAGCAGCAGCAACTTTCCAGCTCTTGGCTGTCTTTTGAGACCTTGTTTCAGGGTAATTTTGGGGTTTTTGTATGTAAGATAGTGGTGTAAAGGCACTTTATAATGTTAACTTGGAACTAAAATCTGTAAAGTTTAACTTCTGTTTTGGCACTAGATAGAAGAGCCTTCAATTAAGCTACTGTAGCTTCCCCTCCCCTACCCACCAGACAGAAAGCTTCTGGCTCAGAAATGCCTGAGGTGGAGGAGAGAGGTGTGTTTTGCGTTGTGCTTGAGTGTTTCCAGCTGTCATCACAGTGTAGGCCTAGTCTTGGCATTCAGGTGCTCTGAGTCTTTTTGTAGGTAGTGTATTTAAACAATTGCAATGCAGTAACGTTGTTTTCAGTCTCATCAGTCTCATAAATGACTTAAGTCTCCTTCTGGATTTGTGCCTTGATGTGTTATCATACACTTGCTTTGTTAAGACAAGCAAGCAAGTTATCTGGTGGGGTTTTTGTTTGTCAGAACCTCAAACCATAGGTCTTAACTGTTGGAAAGCCTTGTTCCATTCTGCAAGCCAAACGTATGTTTTGGGTAAAAAAAAACAAAACAAAACTACTTGGGCAGGAGTCTGCGAGCTCCAGGTAGGAAGCAGATGAGCGTGGGTCCAGGGAAGTATTTGAGCTCTTGGTTCATTTTAAGAGATAACGATGAAACGATTGTGGGGAAGGGTTAATCTAAAGAGTTACTATTTACTGTACAAGGCCGGGCTTGATACACTTGCATCTATTGCAAACAGGAATGATGGCACCGAGTTTGGTGGGTCTATTTATCAGAAGGTTAATAATAAGGTTGAGACATCAGTCAATCTTGCATGGACGGCTGGCAGTAACAACACACGTTTTGGTATTGCTGCTAAGTACCAACTGGATGAGAAGACTTCCATTGTGGTAAGAATTTTGTTACAGGAACGAGTAATTCAAGCTCCCTTAAATACTGAAAATTTGTGGTATGAAGTAGTTGCTTTAAATTGTTACTGAGAAAGTATGGCAAACTGTGGCTTCGTTTGTGGTTCAAATTTAAATTGGGACCTCACAGGTCATAATTGTGAAACGATGAAAAAAATTCTAAAGCACTGTTTTGTCCGTGGCGAAATAGTCACTCATTGGGCTAGTGTGCTTGGAGACTATGCAAAGTATGTTTTCAAAAGGTAATGAGAGGATGCAGTGCCCTTTTAAATCTCTAATTCTTATCTAATGTATAATGTACTACAGTAAAATGGTGGAAGGTCAGCTGAGCTTACAGCCTTCTCCTAACAATCAGTTAACCCTTGAAAGTCAGCTGAGGTCCTGAGATAAGCGTTGGTACTGACGCTTGCAAATTCTTGCGAAATGATAAGGCCAAAAAAACGCTAAAAGGTTTAAATAGTGAGAAAGAGGTTGAGAAGGCAAAACATGTCCATGGGGAAGTGACAGTGAATAAAAGTAACAATGTGTACATTCTAACACTAAGAACTAAAGCAGCAAGCATTTGTTATGCTTCAAAACAAGAATTAGTTCCAGGACAATTCAGCCAAAATTAAAGACGGGAAATACTATTATAAACAGCTCAAAACTTAGTAATGCAAAAATAGGTTTGCATATTCATGTATTTATCGTTCATTAAAGAAAATAACCACTAGTAAGCAATTTGTGAATAGAGGTCTATGAAGAGGACAGACTGCATTTGCTGCGAAGGGACTGCAGTAACTAGCCCTTTAAAGGATATAAAGAGACAATGCTGTGGGCAGTGAAGGACAGGGTGGCATTTTATGTAGGCATAATGGGTCACAATTTGAGGGAACGATTGGAACTATTACTTAAGTTGGAAACTTGAGAAAAGGAGAAGACTGGAATACACCTCTGCTAGAGGTTAGTCTACAAGTAGCTGAAACAGTTAATGCATAAGCCACCTTCTCAGGGCACCGGGACAATTCTGTCTGAATATTTATACATGGTGTATAAATATTGTGATTTCTTTATTTCTTGTAGGCTAAACTGAATAATGCCAGCCTGATTGGAATTGGTTACACTCATGCCCTCCGACCTGGTATGTACGTCCAACTGGTACCAGCAAATAGTAATAGTACTACACTGTGAGTTATTGTACTATCATGTCTAGAATAGAATGGATAAATTAGCTAGAAATCTTACATAGGCTCATAGAAGTAAAGGGTGTGTATGTACAGAACTTCCTATAGCAACCAAGACACAGTAGGGAGGCTCAAGTACTGGAGGGAGGGCATTGTACAGGGATATCAGTGTATGAAGGGTCTCATTACTTGCTTTCCTAGGTATAAAGCTGACCCTCTCAGGCTTGATTGATGGCAAGAATTTCAGTGCTGGAGGTCACAAAGTTGGGCTGGGATTTGAGCTGGAAGCTTAATGCAGCTTTAGGTAAAACAAGGTGCTCTGGAAGATGAAGGAAAAGTGTACCCCGTCTGTTTTGGCCTTAATATTACTCTGAAATTTGAAGAAGTGTGAACTTTCTGCTCTTCCAAAGAATCATTTTAACCCAACGCTGAAGTGCAGAGAGTGCCAGCACATCAAATGAAGATACTTGAAGGCACGCATGGAAGTTGTGATGTTTGTGCCACATGTCACTTCAGTTTCCTGTATTTTAAATGTTCCTAAAACCAGAAGAAAATCCCACCTCTCCCTATTACTGTATTGCATCCTGCATGTCCTGTACTTCACATCCTTTTATAAAAGGTGGTCTCTGTGCTAGAGTGGAAAAATCAGTTTACATCAGAATGAAATAAATTGGTCACAGCTGGAATGTAGTGTTGGTGTCTTGTCTCTCAATGAGGTTCAGAAAAGCTATGGTCCACCCAGCTGTGCTTTTCTTTGGTGCAACCTTAAGCATGGTTAATAGATAATCTGCAAATGCTTTGTTAAAATACACGTGTACGCAGAAGATTTCCTTCTCTGTGGGCTCTAGGATAACATCCTTACACCTATCATGTTTTAGAGACCTGCACAGTTAAAGCAGCTTTTTCATTAAAATGTTATTGAGGGTATCAAAAAGAGCAAACCAAAAGTTTACACATTTTAGATAATTTTGTTCCCATATAGGAAACAAGTATTAGGTAAGTACAACCATTTCACTCAAGAAAAAAGTGCAAATCAGCAAAGTTAAGAAACTATGTTCACAGTTCAAGTATATTAGGAAGGTGACATCTACCAGTGACTGTGCAAGCTGATTGCATGTGTTGTCCATTGTTCATTAGAAAGCCTACAAGGCAGCCAGACCACATGTGATTCCTAAGGGAAGATACACCAGGACAGAGAATATCTGCTGTCTTAAGGCATGATGAAGAACTTTTCCCGAACAGTTAGAACAGGCATTTCCTACTGTATCTTTGGGGGGGGGGGGAAGTGTCCAAGAGGCAGATACTAAAAGCTAGGCCCTGTGTATCACATAAGCAGTAGGTGACAGTAGAAGCAGGCACTTGAACTTCCCTTCTCAGAGGCAGCAGCTTTTCACAGTTGGCTTCCTGAAGCAGCATCTCTTCAGAGGCAACCGAAGTGATTTTACATCTGCGTTTGTGCTGGACTATTTGCTTCTTCCACCTGTAGCTGCAGCCAGCTCCAGTCTAGAGCCTAAAGAATAAACAGCACAACTTAAGTCCCCAGCGCACGGCTCCTGTTCTCAGCAAGCAAGGAATAATAATGTCAGTCAGCAGTTTAAGTGGGGGTGTGGGTGCTTTCTCTTGCCCACAACTCCTACTCTGTCCAAAAGAGCAATATGTGTATTTCTATTAAACACATTACATATTTGTGGCAAAGTTACACAAGCAGAAGTTTGAAGCCATGAGCTTCCCCAGTCCATTTATAGAAGAATATCAAATACATTACCATGAAGCTCTGCTCCTGATCCTTCATTGTGTCATGCATCACATTTTCTAGTTGGCTACAGAGTTTCTGTGATTCCAGCAGTAGCTCCTCACTGAAAGGGACAATTATTTTCCATGGCAGTTTCGGTTAAAGAGATGCTGCCTCTACCTTTAAGATTCTGGCAGGTATGCTGCAGAGCACTGAAGAATATTAACCTTTACCAGGCAGCTCATAAGCTAGTAATTCACATCACAACTGGGAAAGTCAGTGGCATCCCCAGATTTACTGGGACAGGGGAAAGGAAGCATGTTCCAAGTTGGAGCTGGGTTCTAATTATGTGGAGTCACTGTTGCTAAAGTTGCAGAACAGTGTATAAACTAAAGGATTAAGCAACATACAAATAAACAAACCAATGTCTGTCATTCCAACTGGTGACCCAGTTCATTTAAGCAAGCCAGAGCTACACGTGCTTGGTTATAGCAGTCTCTCCTTTATGATAAAGCTCAGCTGCTATCACCCTGCATGACAGTGCTCCAATAATTCCTGTTGGCAGTGTACTTCAAGCGACCCCAACCATTCCAGATAAAATAAACCATTTATTTTTGAGGCAGCGAGAAGTGAAGCTACACATTATTCCCCACTTTTCATAAGCACGATTCACAAGCCCCAGGAAGTCCAGCTGCTAGGTAGAAATGGACAACGGAAGCTGAACAAAGTGCAAAATGTGAGAAAGCCTGCAAGTCATTATTTCACAAAGCGGAAGCCCCAGCTTTGTAGTGCTGGTATTAACAGCTACAGAAGTCCAGACTTTGCCTCACCTTTTCCTGACAGATTCTGATAAATTGTAGGTTCCAGAAGGTACCTGCAGCAGCAGCTGACCAGGGCTACCAAGACGTGATGTGTTCATGCTCTCTGGACTGCCAGTAACAGGACCGCGTACTTTACTCTGAAGAAACCACAGAAGATTCAGATTGCAGCTATTTCCCCTAATTTCCAGCAGCCAGGAGTATAAGACAGCCTGGAATTTGGCTTTAATACTAATTCAAAATAACAGGGAAAAGAACCATAGGACACACCACACTTACTATTAATTATTTCAGTAATCTTTGCTGCAACCATATTGTCAGGTTAAACTGGAGTTTTTATTTTACTTACACAAGCAATTTTCAGCAAGTTCCACAATTCTTTCTGTCGTTTCTCCTGAAGCCTAACAACTGTTTCCTCATCTTCATTCATCAGGTTCATCACTTTCTCCACTTTGGGGAACAATTCCAGTGCCTTCTGCTTGCAAACTACAGTTTTACTATTAAAAAAAATAGATCGCAACATGGGCAACTGCAGTAGGGGAACATTTCTGAAGTTTCTTATTTCCTGTAACACTCAGATCTCATTAGCTGCACACAGTTTTTTAAGCCTCTAGAACAAAACCTCTTGCTGAAAGAGAAAATGCTTTCTCTCAACCCTCAATAAAAGCTGACTCTACAAAGCTCACCTGAGCTGAGCATAAATGACTCGGACTTTTTTTTCAAAGGTCTGGATTGCCTGTAGGAGCAGTCGTACTATTTCTTGGCTGTCACCGCTTGTCCTCTGATCTGGAATGAGAGTCAGAGTATTACACAGAAAGGTAGGCTTATAGGACAGTGAGAAGATTCTTAGTGGCTTGTTTCTACTGCTGCTTCAATCCTGAAACATCCCAAGTTTAGGGCATGTGAGTTTGAGTGGGATGAATTGCACTGGATTTTAGCCACTTTGTTCAAAACGATGAGAATTCGAAAGCAGAGCTGGTATGGTGGGTCTAATGCCTTGGGATTGTATAACTGCTCAAAGGAAGAGCTGTCTTTAATCCTTCCTACACAGAAGCAGAGCATATGCTTGCAGTAACAGCTTGCTCTGAGAAGAGCTCCAGAGAAGTTTCAAGAGGAGCTCAGAAGGTGCCAAGAAAGCAAGGCTGGCCTAGTTTAAAACTGACTCCCTGACTCCACTCTCACAAAAAAAGCAAGTCCAGTACAGTCCATGTACAGCTAGTGTATGGGCAGGCCTAGAATGCAGAGAAAGCTTTCCCGGTGCTCATTGTTGTATCTGCAAAGTTACTATCCACATAAAGCAAGCTAACCTTGAGCTAAAATGTCTTTTACCTCTTGGCTTCTCTCTCAATCTCCGGTACAGCTCTCTGGCTTGTTCTTCTCTAGAAGAAAAATGCACAGAACACAAAGGACTTCACTAGAACCTAAATTATGAACAAGTGGTTCAAGAACTCAAATCTTTTATGTAACAGTCTGCCATTTCAGACCAATGACAGGTAAGGAGTCAAAAACTGTCTTTTAGTGTCAAGGTCCTCCCAGTCCCCTATAATTTGGGTGGAAGAGATAGCACTTTCATTGTCCTGCAGAGAATAAGCATATACTAGCAATACCCCTGCATCTGAAGTTCAAGGTAGTTTAACTCACAAATCCTCCAGTGTTCCTCCTTGTTTACGACCTAGTGGGCTTCTCTGCAGGTCCACAATGTCTGTCTGCAGGGCCATCATCCTCTTCACTAGCTGATCCACATCATCCTCCTGAAAGCAGGGAGGAACATAAGCAATGGGACAGCCTCATGCTAAGAGATACTACCACTCACATTGGCTCTTCCTTTCTCACTCATGTTTCTAAACACATCAGCAACATGCAAACAGCAGCCTTTGACAAAGACAAATGAGACTATGAGTAATTTCAATTCAAGGAAATTAGCTTGGTGGTCTGGGATAGAACAACTTCCAAGAATTTTTTCATAAAAAATTCATCCTGCGACAAAATGACATTGAAGGGTCAGACTTTCTAGTAAATGTTATTCTAGTTCCAGGCCATCCTGCTTCCTTTTCCTTGACTACTGCAGATCTCTCATCCTATCCATCAATGCTTTTCCCTTTTTCCCTCAGCACACAAGTACATCTACTCCTGGCAACCCAAATTCTGCTTTTCACTTGAACTCGTTCACATGCAGAAGCTGCCACTTGTTAGACAGTCATTCTGCACTCTGCCTCGCCCCAATAGAGGAGGACGAAGTGTTGGAAAAGAATAAGATATTGACCAGTCACCTTTCGCTTCTCATCTGGGAACAACGGTTTTTAGCCCTACTTACAGGGGTTACACTGTCTTATGTCAAAAGGCTGAATGCCTTACTGGGAGCAGGTGTGGAATGTGCACCAAGAATGGGAAATTGTTGCCTTTTCAAAATTCAAGACTGATGCTTAAAGTTCTTGTGTTCAATCATCTTATCATTCGCTTTCCCATTCATTTAACCTATGTTCCATATCCACTATCCTGGCTCCGGAATTGGGTTAGCAGGACATCCGAGTGTAACCACTGCAAAATCTGCTGTTGCATTCCCCCTGCCAAGCCTTACAAACACTGTGAGCTTCATGAAGTACTGGCAATGGACAAAAATGGTGCCATCCAAAACAAGGGTATGTGACATGTGGAATCAGCCCAGCCACAAGAAGTTTCTATTAAGGGAGGACGATGAAAAGAAAAAAAAAAAAAAACAAAACAAACAAACAACCTCTCTTTCTTTAGGATAAGCAGTTAGATTTAGAAACATACCCGCCCACAAAGTTCCACAGCTTGCTCCATCTCTTTCCAAGCAAACAGCAGCTTCTCAGAAGCTACAGGGAATGAAAGAAGAGCAACTGCTTTTCTTAGGTTCATACACGAAAAGGTACTTTGTGGGGATAAGAGGCATAAAAAGACCACTGTTTGCCAGGTGCTATACTCACTAATTCCAAATTCAATCTGTTCTTTATACTTCTCCAGATCGATTTGAATGCTTGTTTTAAAGAAGTCCAGCTTTGCTTTCAGCTGTTGGGAAAGGGATGCCATAGAATTCTTCATCTTTGAGAGGGTACTATTGTAACGCAACAGATTCATCCTACATGGACAAAAAGAAGGTCCTATTACCCTACCAAACTAAAAACACTGGCTTCCACTTATATCAAAAGTAGATACTTTAGAGTGTAGCAGTAAGCACAAAAGTAGTTGTGTCAGAGGACAGTACTCTCAGCTTTTCATTACTTGTTAACAGCTCCACTCATGGGCCTCCCCATTCCAACAGGGTCCCATTCCTGTCCTTTCCCTTCCACCAGGGAGCAAAGGCACAGATAAGTATTTTAGAGAAACTGCCACCGTACATGGCTGCTCGCTGCCCCTGCTGAAGCCGGTTACAGTCCTCTTTCAGCATCCGGATTGTGTGCCAGATCTGACCCCACACTTTACGCAACTGGAAGAAGTGGAGATTCTTCTTTGGATCCTGAACTGGAAACAAGAGGGGGGCAGGGAGAGGAAAATGTACAAATCAGCATGCAGCCTAAAAGTTGTGTTATCACATGACAAAACAGACCAAAACATCACTCCTTTGAGGGGCACATTAGCTCTCGCAAAGCTTATAGTTGGTTAACCCCTATGCAGCTTCCCCAGTGTATCAAAATAAAACACTTCCTTTCCTCAGTTCTTTTGACAAATTGAATGAATGCTATGCCAGTCCATTTTACTGCTTCTTCAGTCCCAATATGCAAAAGCTCTCTTTACCCTTTGCACATGACACTGAACACAGAACACAGGCAGCCCTCTCAGCGCAGACAACCTCTCACATTCATGCTAAAGAAAGTTCTTACGGATGCAGTCAACACTTTCTGGATGAGGACGCAAGGCAACCTGAGCCTCATAGGCAACTTTCTGGTTATCGAAGAGGAAGAGGAGGTCTGTGTCTGCAGCTGCAGTATCATTCACCTGCTGAAGACAAAAGACTCAGCTAGGTTCTCTCAGAAAAAGCAAGCCTCAGCAACACCATAAATAGAATGTTCCTCCTCAGCCAACGACTCAGCACCAAAGGCAAGAGGGTACCTATTCTGCAAGTGCTGTTAGGTCTGTGTGGTTACTAGGACAAAAGCCTGCCTGAACAGCAGGGAGTGCTGTGCTCCCAAAGTGAGAGCAGTGCCTGCTGATTCACTGAACAGCAAGGAAGGGAGTGTCCAGACTCACCTTGCTATCGGCTATATGTTTACTGGCCAACTTCTGAGAAAACAATGCAAGTCCAGCTTCCTGCAGTAGCTCCTGGTCCTGTTCTGGGATTCCTGTATCTGACTGGATCCTAGCCTTCACAGTCTGCAGAGTCTCCTCCTCTGTCACAGGGTAGGTGTGTACGATTCCCGTAACCATGTTCAAAACATGAAGCAACTACAGGAAGAGTAGTGTGACATGAGAAGGGCCGAAGATACATTGGTCACGTTTGAGCAGAGATCCCAGGACCGAGACACTGGCCACCAATAAACTGTTCAAAGCGCTTGCAGGGCTCAAGAAGTCACTTTGCAGCTATTTCATAACACTACGCTAAAGTGTTTGTCCTCCATCAACTGGAAGAGGCACCACGTGGGAATTAAACAGCTTCAGCCACAGAATCCTGTACCAGAATATGGAACCAAGCACACACAGAAGCTATTTGCTACTCTCAGCAAGCTCAGGGCATCTTTGTCCTCAAATAAGCAAGAGGAAAACACCTGTCACTAACTGTCAGCAGACAGCTAAATGAGATTCTGTGCTGCTCCTCCTCCTAGGCCTATGACTCAAGCCTCTGCATGGGATACAGGCAACTGCTCTCTGGAAAACTTTTCGGGGTACTACAGACCCATTGCTTACCTTCAAGTTCAAAATGTCATCCAAAGCTTTAAAGCACCCATTGGGTCCATATGTAGGATCTGTACCTCTCTGCCGTGGGTGCCACATTAACATCAGTTGCAGCCATTTCTCCAGACTCCCTGTTTGCAGTCACCACATGGTCTGGTCTCTGCAGAAGGACTGACAAACAACTTTTCTCCCCACCCGGATCATAAATCATAAGTGTTTAGAAGGCAGAAACAGAGACTCACAACTACACAAGTCTGACAAGGGACATCAGCATTGTTTGTGTCATGCACTCAATTTATTCACAGATTAACATAGTAAGGCATGTAATATAAACCTGGTCCTTTTGCAGAAGAACGTTTGTCCCAGCGTGGCATAACAGATTTCTAGTCCTTACCTGTTTAGATTGTTCGGGCAGGGTAAACTGCTAGAAAATTTGACTTCTCCAGATAAGTCTTCTGAAACGACAATATCCATCTCACTCTTCTGTCGCACTTTTGTATGCCTAATGAATTCAAGCAGGTACAACAGTGAAATAGTCACCTGCCTTTCCCAGCCTGCATGTTAGTAGGCTCTTAAAGCTACTCTTGACAGATGCCACTCTGGTTTCTGCTACCTGCCCTGCAGCAGTCAGTCCTGATCCCAAAGAGCAAGTATCAGGAATGCTGAACTTGCTCAGGTAGGTCAAACTGCTGTGAAGGGAGTCAGTCTCCATAAGGGCAAGGAACATAGGGATATTACCCTAAGAATCAAGGGACCACACTTCTACTTCCTGTAAACGAGACAGTCACGTTGCATGCACCCTTCTTATCACCTGGCCCCAGCCCACTCACCATTGCACTGGCTGCCAGTTGGGTAGGAATGGTCGAAAGCCTGTAATGCACTCAAAGGCCAATGTGCCAAAGCTCCAGTAATCCACCGTCACCGTATATTTCTGCTGTTCCAGCAGTTCTGGAGCCTGAGACAGTTTACACACACGTGAGAAAGCCACCCATCTCTTACCTCTCTCTATCCCTTAAGAGCTCATTAACATTTGTACAGCGCTCTGCCTCTCACAGCTCTGAGATTCTCTCCAGACAGCAGAGGTTATTGGCATTCCTATCTTGCTTCTTTTAAATAACAGACATAGCAAGCATACACTGTGAAAACTCAGTGCCAGCAAAACACCTTTGCTAGCTGCAGCACCCCAAACACACCCCATATCAGGGCAAGTACTTCATCCCACCCCAAAGCCTGATTAACAATTAACTCTATCCCACCGCAAAGTGGTAGCCGCTCTTGTAGCTGCATTCCTTCCTTACCAAGTACTGCAGAGTTCCAACAAAGGATGTACAGAGGCTACCCTGATCCAACTCCTTAGCATAACCAAGGTCAATGATTTTGTGTATTAACTGAAACACACAACAGAGGATAAGAACGCTAGAGAGAAGTCCTATTAAAAGCACTCCATACAGCAGAGAAAGAAAAGGTTCAGCTCTTCAAAAGCATGCAGGAAAGCTGCCAACAAAGAGATGGAAGTGGACATGGAAGGCTCCTGTAGATGTCTAAAACCACAGAGTATGTGAAGTTGTCATTGGCTTGATAGACACAGAACTGGAGACATTACTGCTAATTCAGATCTTGGGTCAATCGGTACAGTCTGGTTCTTTCCTTAACAGTTGAAACTCAAAACCTCAGGTGTTACCAGAAGTTTAATACAACTTTTCATCTCAGCGGCACACAAAATTCTGTTCATCTGACACACAGATCTGAGCTAGCTGTTATCCTGGGTTGAGTGCTCTTGCAGGGGGACCACTGCAACTGCATGCTCCTCTCACACTTACTTGTCTATGCAGGCAGAGACACCTGGTTCCTGCTTACCCTTTGCTCTCCTTGCTGCAGCACAATGTTCTCTGGTTTCAAGTCTCTGTGGATGATCCTGTTTTCATGCAGGTACCTGAGAGCAGAAGCTGAGACACAGAAAAAGCAACTTGTAAAAGTGTAACTAACAGTACCCAGCACAAGCTCAGTAAGGATTCAGCACAGGAAGATATGGACCTGTTGGAGCAGCGCCAGAGAAGGCCACAGCAATGAACACCTCTCCTATGAAGAAAGGCTGAGAGAGTTGGAGTTGTTCAGCCCGGAGAAGAGAAGGCTCCGGGAAGGCCTTATTGCGGCCTTTCAATACTTAAAGAGGGCTTAAAAGAAAGATGGGAACAAACTTTTTAGCAGGGCCTGTTGCGATAGAACAAGGGGTAATGGCTTTAAACTAAAAGAGGGGAGATTTACACGCTTCCAACCCAAATTATTCAATCATTCATTTCTACCATTGTATAAGCATGGCTTTTGGTCAAATCTTGTACAATCAAACATTCGATGAAACACTAAGTGCAAGAGAAAAAGTCAGCATCAAACACTTTGGACACAAACAGAGTTTGCTCTCTGGGTCTTTCCTCACACCCTTCTTGTAAATTTGAATGACACTGCCTAGCTTCCAGTCAGCGGGGACCTCCCCAGACTCCCAAGACCTTTCATAGATGATCAAAAGGGGTCCTGCTGTAACACCCATTAGCTCCTTCAGTACTACAGGGTAAATCCCATCAGGCCCCATGGACTTGTGAACATTCAGCTGATACAGCTGGTCCCTTGTAATTTCAGCGTCCACAAATGGAAAGTCACTGCTCCCGCATTCGAGGTCCTCTGGCTCAGGGGACCAGGCAGCCCAAGATATATCACTACTATTAATGACCGAGGAGGAAAAAAACAAACAAACAAACAAAAAGAACCCCAAAAAACACACACCAGCAAAACCAACACTGAATGCCTCCACTTTTAATTCATCCCGATTAGTCAGGTGACCATCTTCAACCAGTATCGGTCCAATTTTCTTTAGACCTCCTCTTGCTACTAACATGATTTGCAAGAGACTTTTGTCTTGTCTGACACAACACTGGCCAGTTTCAACTCCAGCTGAGCTTTGGCCTTTCATGTCTTCTCCCTGCACGTATGAACCACAGATCTGTAATCTTCCTGAAAAGCCTGACCTTGCTTCCAGAGATCACACAATTTCTTTTTCCTCTTGAGCTCCATGAAGAATTCCCTGTTCAGCCAAGCTGGTCTTCTGCCCCTCTTGCTTGACTTACAACACACTGGAATTTGCTGCTCCTATGCTTCTAAAAGGTGATTCTTAAAAACTGACCAGCACTCACAGAAAACTCAGCCCTCAAAAGCACATTCCCAGGGTACTCTGCTAAATAACTCCCTCAGTAGCCTGAAGTCTGCTCTTTTGAAGTCCAGGGTAGCAACCCTGCTGTCCTTTTTTTCTCTCATTGCACTGAAAATTTTTAATTCAACCATTGCATGATCACTGTGGCCGAGACAGCCACATACCATCACATCTCCCACAATTTCTTCTCTATTCACAAACAGCAAGTCTAGGAGGACATTTTTCCTAGTTGGCTGAGCACTTGTGACAAGAAGTTATCTCCCACAAACTTCAAGAATTTCCATGACCTGCATGTCACAGCAGTATGATATTCCCAGTTGATGTCTGGGAAGTTGAAATCTTGCCTAAAGACACAGGCTGTCAATCCAGAAATTTCTCCTAATTGCCTACAGAATAACTCATCAGCACTAACATCCTGGCTGGACAATCGAGTGGCTATACTCAGCTTTTCTTTACCTATCTGTTTCTTCAACAGTCTTAACCTAGAATACAAAAGCTGCTCTGATAAACGCTTGTTTCCTGTTTGGTCCACCAGGTGTTCTTCTCCTCCTTTCACCTGCAGAAATCTTCAAAGGAAATTTCTATCCAACATACTTTCTCTGCTCAGAGCGCTAGGACCCCACAACTGGCAGACTGATGAATTCCATCTATACTAGAAAGACAAAAATCTCAACTCAAGAACACACAAAGGCAGAATAAATGCCCTCTATTTTCTCGCTCAAGACAATACCTTGATATATTATCTCCTCTCCTGTGGATAAAAAGAAAAATCATGGAGCTAGGGGGAAAAAAAAAAAAAAAAAAACAAAACAAAACTTGGCAGCATTTCCAGTTTGTGCTTTTCAGCCATGACTCAAGCCTGAGCCAAAGGGACTCGCTTTTCTGCTCTCTGAGACTTTGGGTCCCTTCTGACAGTGTTGCATTCCCAGACAGAGCTCTCTTGTTCAGTACAATATGATCCAGCTAGACTTTCAGGAGCTATCGACAGTAACCCCAGAAAGACCAACTAGCCATGCACTGTAAGTGATCAGGAGAACAAGTTGTACCAATAGTCAAAAATATTTCTCATCAGCTACAGTTCAGATCATACAACTGAAACTTGGGTCTGTCCCTCTTCCCATACACACACAAGCACACGAACACAAACTTCACTCTAAATGTGATCTGCCATTGTCTCTGGTCAGCACTCAGTATCATTTCTGGGTCTCTAAGCAGTACAAGGATGAGGCAGCAGCATACAAATGCTCTGGAACACAAAGGATGGGAGATAATGCCTAACAGCCACACCTGCACTAAAAGTAACGACAAAAGCATGTTTATTTTCTTGCCACAAGCTCACTTTCTAAGCATACATCTGTCCCAGACGCATTTCTTAAATATCTTCTCTCTAAAGCCTTAGCACCTGTCCAGTTTTGCCTCATCTGCAACTCAGTAAGATCACAACATAGCTTGACCAAAAAACTCCACCCCAAAAGTCTCTAGACAGCACCTGGCAATCTTTGCACAAGAACTGTCTAAAATTCCACATAGTGTTGACCCAATGCTAATGGAAACCCACTGATCACACACATTCTGAAGTCCTGATGATCAGCTGTTAAGCTGAGGGTGGAGACTGATGTGCATCATAAACCTGGCAAGCATTCAGCTACCCACAACCTTCCAGGAAATCCTGAATGGCACTTTTGCTAGGCAACAAAATCCATCTCTACATTTTCAAGAACAAAAAATCAAAGGTTGGCTCTTCCACAGAGAGGCCTGGCAGAGCAAGACAGGAAACACGTATACTCTGCAAAGGTCAGTCAAAGATGGAGTCATTAAGGTCACCACTGCATATCCTTAGAGTGGATTCGGCATTGAAAGGGCTTCCACAGTTCAGACAACTGAAGGTACTGCTACCACTTACCAATATCAGATAACAAGATGAGAATAGCTTCTTCCCGCAAGCCACAGCAATTCTCCAGCTGATTCAGGTACTGCAAGAAAACAACACAGAATATAGTCTTTCCCTCCTGCATCCCAAATGAGGCTCACAGTCCCACAAAGTCTCACGGATTAAGTTCCAGTAACAGCAATGAATCCTCACAGTGTCACTTGCAGCCAAACAAATACAAAAAGTTTCAGAAAGCACTTTAGTCTTCAAAAGCTGAACGTAGTATCAAGGACCAACCCACCAAAACCTGCCACGACAAGAATGAGGAAGCATCAGGATGTGAAAACAGATGTTTTACAGGGAAATATCAACGGAAACCCTAGGATCAGCTGAGAAGCTGATCCAGACCATGGTCACCATCCCAGGGACCTCACCTTGCGGAGGTCTCCACCTTGGCAGTACTCCATGGCCAGCAGTGGCAAGTCATTTGGTGCAAGCTTCTGCATCCCTTCAGGGACATCACGGGCAGCCACCACATTGGGATGGTTCAGCCTGAGGAATGGAAATGAGGCAAGTACACATGATGAGCAGAGCCAGGATAACACCCGAAAGACAACTGTTCTGCAACAGCTATGCAGTTTCATGTGCTCATCATCATCACGCAAAGTCCTACAAGGACACGAAACCTTTTAGAAATGGAACTAGTGAATTCTAAAGGTCTACAATTCATCTGTCCTCCATGGACCTATATTCATCCCAACTCCTTGCGTTTCACGTGTAGTGTGTTCTTTCAACGCACATGCACAACTGATCCGCCTAGGAGCTACAGGAACGCACCTTGTGAGGGAGTGCGATGCTGTCCGTCACCCTCCAGAAGAGACCCAAATCGCAATCACATCATTGCATTCTACAAAATCCATCCAATGCCCCGAAGGACCACCCAGCACAGACAGTAAGCGAGCCAAAAGCGCGGCTACATAGCAGAGCTGTTGTAACACCAAAGGCGGCGGCAGAAGCGCCAAAGAAGCAAGTCTAAGACTCAACACTGACGAAACACAGCGCGAGGTTTTCCTCAGCGTGCGCCTCTGCCCGTCGGGGCCGGGCACCCCCGGAAGAGGAGCGAGCGGCCGGCCGTCTC